CCATGTACACAGACCATTAGCAACCCAAACCATTCACAACCCTTTAACGTTTATACCAGCAACTCCAGGAAGCGTGTGTGTGTGTGTGTGTGTGTGTGTGTGTGCGCGTGTGCGTGCGCTACCCCTTGACCCGGCCACGGTATGCAAAATCAACCACACACCGATAGGAAGTTAAATTTGACTTTTGTGGCAACTCATCCATCCCTCGGGGCATGGAATGACTTAGAGCCCATGAGCTATTGACATAGTCTGTATACCTTATGGACGGGAGGGAGGGAGGGAATGGAAGATTAGGAGGAAGTACAGAATGAGTGAGTGGGAGGAGGAGGAGGAGGAGGGGGGGGGTGGGGAGGGGGATGAGGGGGCAACGAAATTCCCCAGAACACCCATCTCCCTGTCTGAGCTACTTCCTGCCCACTTTCCCACGCCAAGAGGGAGAATGGGGGAGATTAGAAGTGTTGTTACAAGAAATTAAAGAGCAATAACTCTTGGTAGGATGGGACCACGTAGAAAAGTGCACGCATGACATGAAGATGGGGGAAGAAGGAGAAGGGAGCAGATGGGAAGAAGTGAGATGGAGAATGAGGAGGAGAGGAGGCGGAGATGGAGAGCAGAGAGGGAGGAAATGTCATCCTTCAGTTTATATCAGAGGAACGACTTTTGCCTTCTCCCCCTGACGGTTACCAGCTGCCCCCCGTCCCTCCCCTCCCCCGAGAAAGAGACCCAGAGGGGAGACAAATCAAAAGTGGATGAGCCGCGAAGAACCAGGGGAAGAGCCGACGCCTAAAGCGATAAAAGGACAGGCAGAGTAAAACCGGGCGACGGGGGAAGGATTAGCCGCAGTAACAATGAAACCCATCCCGACGTGGCCGCCCTCCGCCAGGACTTCTCACCTGGTTTTCCCCGTCAGGCTTTACACGGCGTTCTTACACCTCATTCTAACATCCTGTGCCTCCTCTCTGTAAACAATGTACTTGCTTTCCACCGAAGGGAGCGTAAGATTGTTATCTAATTAAGAAGAAACTTATTTAGTGGGGAAAAAAAGGCAACATGATCTGCAGTACAGAAGAGGATGAAGAGCTCTGAGCCCTTTCAGGGAGAGATGTGTGTACAAAATGTACCTAATTGTTTTAGACAGAAAGTGTTTAACCAGCGTAATAGGTTTTTCTTTTCAGTCTAATCAACTTGTACACTGTGCCGTGATTGATGACTGTAGATGAAGATCCATCTCGACCTTTTATCCCCTCTCCTCCAGCCGTTTACTTCCCCTCCAGGGGCCGGTTCATCAACTAAATACTTAAAGCATCACTTTAGGTTGCAAATGTACAAGAGGAGGTGGAGGAGTTTAGCACGGCAGGCCACAGTTGTGTGGCTTTTGTGTAACGCTCAGCCACTGGCACGCAGCTCGCGTTCAGCTTTGAGGGAATTGGCTTCCAGACGCCAACAAGTCATCGTCAGTCATCAGAGGGGGTGACGACCGTTACAAAAGGGAAGAAGAGATGAACACAACAACAGACTGTCAGTGAATTTCCACTGTACATCTGATGGGCTTCTGTGGTCTGAAGCGCGTTTCCTCCGAATTGCTGATGCAGATGAACTGGGTCAAATTTGGGAAACTAGTAAAAAAAAATACAGTTTAATTAAAGCGACTACATGAAACAAACCTTCCTTTTGGGAAACATAAATCAGCAGTGTGGAATAATGTCTCTCCGTGGTACTACATCACTACAAATAGCATCAGCAATGTTACACCAACATCTGGCGCAGCTGGGTTCTTCAATTCAGTCCCGGTGTCATCGATGTGAAATATCTTCATAAAATGTAACCCCCTGCGCACCCGACTGAATTTATGCCTGCAGGTCACCCAGGGAAGAAGAATATAATAAAAATACAATTCATAAAAAGTAACTGAACTTTTTCCACTACAGATGCATTAATCATACTTTTGGATTCAACTTTGAGATAAAGTGTAAGTAGTGGACAGATTTAAAGAGGAGACAGAGGGACAAAGTGCGCGGTTGGGTCCGTCGGACACTCGAGCATTACGGGGAAATCTGGGCTCCGAGTGCACGCCTTGTGAGCCCAACATTACGCAAAGATGGAAGGAGGGAGACGACTGAGAGACAACCGAAGAGGGAGAGATGTCAAAGATCATCGGAAAAAAGGACGGAAAAGAGCGGAGGAGCAGGAAGATTGTCGTTGAGAATAGAAGTGTGAAAAGGTGTCAGGAAAGAGACAGAAACAAATGAAACATTGGAAAAATGGTGATATATGGATAGTTATTTAAAAGGAAAATGTTAAACAAAGCGAGGCCAGCGGAGAAAGTGACACGAAACAGATGGACATAAGTAAGCGGAAAAGGAAAAAGATGTGGGACGGGAAGAGGAGGAACACCTGGAGGAAAGTTGAAAGCTACAAAAGAGAAATGGAAAGATTTTTAGAAGACATTTTTAAACAACTGACTGAAAAAAGGGAGACGAAGGAGGCATGAGATGAGACGGTAATGACGGATGATGGATGGAGCAAGAGAAAAAGGCCGGATCGCGCTCCTTTGGCTGCAAGTCAGGGGGTTACAGAATATATTGAATCGCACCCGTGGACCCCAGACCGGGAGAGCGAGGGGTTTTTCCTCAGTCCTCAAACTCAAAGCAACAGAGGTCGAGCTCTTATGCAGCATCCTGCTCGTACCAGATGAAGATCAGTGCTTCATCCTTCCCAATATGATAAAGAAGGTGCGACATTCCACCTTTAACACTCCTCAGACATTTTGGGGTTATGGGGGTTATGGACGTGCTCCCACATCGAAAAATGACTGAGCAGGAGTACCTTTTCTCTCACACACACACACAGTACATCTTCCTCTTATCTCCCAATGAATGCAATCCTGGAAAATATCAGCAGGGCATCTTTCGTTGAACAATATAGCGTTTAACATCAAAAGTAGAAAGAAGAGCAGAGCGGCAAAAAAAAAAAAAAAGAAATTGCACAGGAGATCAAATTATTTGGGTGCTCTATTCAGAGAAACGAGTTCCTTCCAGAACGCCCGTGTCATCCGTGTAAATGCGTATTAACTGATCTCATTAATAATAGCTGGTTATCTGTGTGGCCGTGTCCTCTTTCTCTTCAGCTCTGGTTCAAACTCTCCAGGGTGGCAACGTTCCTCGTTGCTACTGTACGGATTTAATGAGCCCGATTCAAACCTCATTGTACAAACTTGATCCATGAGGAAGTTTAACGTGACGTCTGGGAAGTGGCATCACAACGCAGCAGCAACCGGAAAATAGCGATTTAAAGAAAAAGTTTAAAAAGCTGCAAAATACAGCGATCGGGACAGAACTGTCAAAAAAAGGAAAACAACCATTCGTCACTGCCTGACTCGGTTTCCACATGACTAAATTCCCACAAGTGCCGGCCTTTTGGCCTCGGTGGTCTGACAAGTTTGGGGCTTATTTCATATTCTGCAGCCGACAGCAAGCTGCACCCAAGCTTCTGCAGTAAGAAGAGCGGCAACGGTCCAGATTAGTCACGACCAACATGAACAAAGACGAAGAGGCGCCAAGTAAGTAAAGTAAGAAAAGCTAAATACGAGAGCACGTAAACCCAACGAGCCACACTGGCACTGTGTCAGCATTTCCAGGCAGCCGGACGCCGACTTGTAGCCGCTGTATTTTTTTAAGATAAGATCTGACACTGCAGTATGCCAGAAGTTTCTGTGATAACGCTCACGAGGGTTCAGGAAAGCCTCCCAGTTGCCCTCTGTGCTTTTCTCATTTTCCATCCTCCTCGAGGTCCAAACGGCCGCTTATTTCAGGTTGCGCGTCTTTGTCGAACCGCTCGCAGCCGCCGCGTGGAGCGGCTTCATCCTCAAGGATCCAGTGACTCCTCACTAAACAGTGTCACGGCTGCACCTCGGGCGACAAGTGGCCTATAAATCGCGATCACACACGCATGCGCACGCATGCACGAGTGCAGGACGGAATGAGTATTTAAAGCCTCTGTCGGTTATGTGGGTACACAAACGCATGTACACGGACAACACGACGGATATGTCCTACACACACACACACACACACACACACACACACACACACACACACACACACACACACACACACACACACACACACACACACACACACACACACACACACACACACACACACACACACACGGCAGCGGAAATATTGGCTATCAACGGGTCGTTCCGTACATGCCTTTTGGATGAACAGACAGCCAGAAATAAAATGAGGGACAGTGTGTGCGTTTGTGTGCGTGTCACAGAGAGCCAGAGAAAAACATGGAGAGCGATTAGATGGAATAGGTGGGATGAGTTAATTGCGCTGCCTTGAAATTACATTTGATCCAGGAGCTCTCACAAAATGTTCAGACCAGACCAACTTCCCACACACACTTCTAGAAGAATGACCGTAGATCCACAAGGTGAAGGGAGACAAACACACTGTGAATTCGGGGGTTGAAATAAAACCGCTTTAATACATCTGCACTAATCAAAATCTCAAAAGTCTGCATCCTGCTGACTCACTGCCTATTGCGTCTGGATAATCATGTCAGCTAAATGCCTAAAATCCAATATAACTAAACTAATGGCTTAAGCGCAGCCACCAAAGACACGGACGGGAGGGAATGCGGTTGTTGCAAAGTACAGATAGATGGAAAGAGATGCAGGACTAAAAGGATGCAGACCACAAAGACTCCAGCGAGAAGGAGGAACGGGAGGAAGAGGGGGCGAACAAGGCCGGGGCAAATTGATGGAAACCATTCTGGGTGAACTAATGGACTTCATGTAACCACGATAAGAGACAACAAGAAAGGAGGACGACTCGGAAAGACGACCAAAAAGGAAGAACGCGGTTTGGTTCAAGTAAACAAATGGCTTTTGTTAATGCATGTCTTAATAAGTCCACAATTGCATACTTTGTGACCAACCTGTTTGTGTAGGTTTGTGTGTGTGTGTGTGTGTGTGTGTGTGTGTGTCTCACCAGGTTGGAGCCTCCAGTCCAGTAGAGGTAGAATCCATCTGGGTCAACTTTCAGAGTCACTAGGGTGGGCGGCACGTTGTTGTTATCCTAGATGACAAGAGAAATGGGGACGTTAGAGTGACACTTAACAGACGTGTCTTTTTCTTCTCCATAAACTCTATTGGCTATGACAATATAGACTGTATAGAGAGTGTTGAGATTTTCAGTTTAGCCATATTACCTAAAGCGGCCTATTTAGAGAAATAAGTAGGACACCTGAAATCCACTTCACTCCTCGTCTCGTCTCACTGCAGAACTGCAAAATCAACCTAAAGACTTTGTAAATTGTGACAGGTGAGAGTTTGAGCTAAAAACAATTATTATTTAAATTTCTCGTTCTATTTTCTCTACAAAATAAGTTGGACTGAAACCTGTAAATAAAGTGATATTGGGTATTTTGTTCCTCCCGTTCTGCAGAGAGAAAAAAAAATGAATTGGTTCACGTTAATTGGGTTTGAAAGGCCTACTAGGGTTGGGATTTTGTTTCACAGCTGGATCCATCAACCAGTGATTCTGAAAACTCGAGCTCGGTCGACTAAATGAGTCGAGAACTCGTTTCTGCTTGTTCCCCTTCAATACCATTACATTTGAGATGAAATGTAGTGTGTACAGCAGGCTCCTATGGGCCAAAGAAAAAACAAAAAAAACACACACACAAAGGGGTATAATCCATTTTTTATGCAGAGAATTAACTCTGCAAAAGACAATATGGCTGCTTCTTTACAGTCTCACAGCATTGTAAAAAAGAGTGACGCGAGTTAGGCCGTTTGTGGCAGCGGCGAGCTCTACATGCCGTCAAACGGGGCCTTACCATAATGGCATTGTAGAGATACGGTGGCATTGTGGCTTTTCTGTTCGTGCGTCGTGCAACAGCTGTATTGAAGCTGGAAGGAGGAACAGTTTGGCCTGCATGAAATGTCACGTGCACTATAATGATGGCTCATGCAGCAGCCTGCACCAACGTGTCATTAGCATCGTCATTATGGCGTCATATGCCGCACATATGCCACACACAGTCGTACAGCTACTGGCTGGAGTAGTCACAGTGGTAAGCGGTCATACTCCTGTCCAGCAGACAAACACACCGTCCAGACATCCTGGTAAATGACGATGACGGTCCAGATTGGTTGTTATAACAGTGACGGATGCTCATGTACACGTCAACTTGAGCATCAATAATAATATCACCACCACCACCACCACCACCACCGTCGTCGTCGTCGTCGTCGTCGTCATCATAATCAGATGGGAAGCCAGGCTTTCCCACCAACATACTATTGGAGGAATATGGTATGTCTACAAAAATGACAGAACACAAACAAGTAACCGCCTCTAAACGGTTCTTATTGAAGTGGTGTGGAACAAATAGTGACGGACAAAGCTGAAACATAAATGGTCTTATGCTTTACACACAAATGTGCAACATTCAAAAAATCTTTTCCGACTGAATCATTTCAAACTCTGAATACATACACATGAATCTCAATGAAGTGGGGGAAGCAAATTATCCGATGTCATGTCATCGCCTCATCATGGGACTGCATGAATAAGACTGTTATATTCATGTAGCTGCACAATAGTCATGCTTGCCATAGATGTAGGAATACACATTGGCAGGTTGAAAAAAACAGGTACAAACTCTTAGCTGCATCCCTTAATTCAATAATACATTTTGGAGAGACAGTGCACTTCACTTATATACTACTACTATACTATAATGTTATAAGCAGATTCCATTACCTTCAGACAGAACCCAGCTAGTAGTTGACTCATCTTTAGACTCACACTAAGCTTATCATGTATCTCTACACAAGACAGTTGATCAACCCTGGACAAATTCTTTAGTCTCCTCAATTTCAACATTTGTCCCATTTCCCCTGGAAATGCACACTTGCAGTGCATTTCAAGCTGAACATACCTTGAGTTTAGGCTCCAGAGTCGGCTAACAAAGAAGAAGGAGACAGCAGGAGTGGTTAGAGTTTAGATTGGGAAAAGGACATGAAGAAAGAAAGATGGGATGAAGTTGGGAAGGAGATGGATTGGAAGGAAAGGCTGCAGGTTGTTAAGGAGAACAAAACATAAAAAGGTCGAAAGTAGAAAGAAGAGAGCGTGAGATCAAAGACAAACCACATCATGAATGATTCAATAATGAATCCTTAGTAAGCAATTGTAAATTCAGGGGATTTAAAGTGGGCATCCAACTTGGAGCCACACGATCAACTTCCAATGAAACCTGAGCTTGAATATCTGCCGAATAACATGTCGCGCCTGTTCTGCTATAGGTTTAATTTTCTGAGTCGACAGTGAATGATCACAATTCAAAAAGGTGAGGAAAAGTTTGGAAGGCCCAGAGGCTTCCACAGCCAGTCTGGTGAGAACAAAGCCACGTCCATTATTATTGCCACAGACTACTGGGCTTTCTGTGAAATGCCTGAAATGCAAATCATTTGCAAATCGGAATTCCTGTCCTGAGTGATAAAAGCAAATAACTGAGTTGTTAAATATTCAGGGAAATCTTTGCTGCAGAACCTGCACGCTGCAGCCTCAACTTTTTACCACTTTAGAGAATATAAAAATGCAAAAGGCTCTCTAGTCAGTGCACTGTTCATTGTTCTGAACTAAAGCAAAAACACGGCGGTGCAACGTCGCACAATGAGGAAGATGAGCCGCCCCCTGATGTCGTGTGGAGGGTTCAGTGTAAAGGTATCGACAATACAACGATGCTTCATTATAGAGGATCATAGCAAACATAGAATTGGACTACAACAAATGGAGAATCAATTAAAGTCATCAGGTCATGTTCAGGGGAAATAAACAGGAGTCACATAAACAGTGTGATAATAACTATGTTTTTAATATCAGTCTGATCCATTCACACCACACATTTGAGACTAGGTCTGGATAAAGCAAAACAACATCAAACAACAAAGAAATCAAATAAATAAGAAGAAGAAATAAGAAATTAAATATTCTGCTCTGACACCCTGGCGGCGTGTCGACTGAAGGCTCTGAAACCTCGGCCAATCGTAGGTGAGAATAGATATATACCGTTAGTGTGTGCAACATGTTGGCCGTCTCATCACTGCGCAGCAGTTTGGCAAAATTACAAATATTCTATTATGCACTAAAACAAAGAGTGTTTAGGCCTGGACCAACCTGCATGGACCAACCTGCATGGATGAAATAATGACATTGTTGGGCTACAGACTTCAAACGTTATCGGGCCTAACACGTCCGATACCGCAACCCCAAAACAAATTATCCAGAGTTTAGCAGCTGAGGCACTAGCAACGGAGTAGGCTCGGGAGGATCATGTGGCGTCAGCACTGGTTTAACTGGAAGAGGCATGCGTACAGTCTGCAGGGTGGCTCCCATGCGTCATCTAACTGGGATTTCAGCTCCGAAAAGAAAAAACACAACACAAAAAACAAAACATGTGTTTTCCCATCTCAGATTTGAGTCCAGCCAAACTTTAAAACGTAGAGTCACACCTCACTATTAAGGACGCAGTCGAGAGCCAACATTCAACAGTCATGTTCTAATACAGGGCAGAAAGCTTTCAGACCAGTCGGAGTAGTACCGGTTAGTGCGTAGCACGATGCATACAAGTGCGTTGTATCTACGGGGTGCTGCAGTTACCCACACCCTGTAGGAGGTCCCGCTCTCTGCACGGTGTTTATTGTTGGAAACCCTAAATGGGTTATCTAACCCGTTTCACAGCAGGCCCTGCTTATGTAACAAGTTATCTTCTGTGCCGTATAGCTTGAGGAATTCCACTAGGATCGGAAACACACAGACATTTTCCCAGAGGAATGCGATCTACAGGCTCATGTGACCGGGCGTAGAACAACACCTCCCGTAAAACCTTCAAACCACAGAGACGGGACGCCGTACAAACAGTCACACACCATTTAGGTCGGACTTATTTGCATGTAGTACCTGCTGAGCTTTACATAGTTGCTCCCAGGGTTCCCGTTTACCATGACACACACACACACACACACACACACACACACACACAAACACACAAACACACGCACGCACTCTTCCTTCCTGTGTCCAAAATTGTAGTGGCCTTTTTTTCCGCTACTTTCCTCTTATAGATAAAAGAATTCATTAACGGGCTAATGATTGTGAATATAGTCATTAATTTCTTACTTATTTGTCACTGGAAACGCCCTATAAAAGAACGTTTTATAACACAATATGTCACAATAGTGACATACAATAAGGGTAATGGTTAAAAACCAAAAACAGGAAATCATGCCCTCCCCAAAGATCCCCCCCTGGTTTACCCTGAACCTACACTCAGTGGTGCGGTTTTTCTGTGAGTGGGTGATACGTCAATAATTGGACCTCAGCCCACTCCCTAATTAACTACCACATGTACAGACCTTCTGAATTCCCGCCTTGCTAATTTCCCTCCTTTCTTTTCCTGTCTCTCCCTCCATGTCAACCATCCCTTCCTTCCCTCTCCCACACATCCATTCCCATTCTACCTCCTTAATTGACTAAAGACCGGGTCTTTTTCTCCAGACCCCCTCCAGATGCCCTGACCCTCTGACAAACCCCTTCATTACCTGGCCCTAATGTCAAACGCACACGCACACGCACACACACACACACACACACACACACACACACAAAGTGGGACGGACCACCCTCTGAGGTCTTACATAGACTGACACCAGCTAATGAGTTCCTCTTGAAAACCCACAACCTATAAGGGCATGCACATGTAGGAAAACACACGTGGGTTCCTGCTTCTCTTCCTAAACGAGTGTTGCGTAACGCGAGTCAGGAGAAACTGATTTGACAAAAAAAAAAAAGCAAAAAAATGTAAAAAGCAACCGGTCCAGAATGCACCTTTGGTCAGCCATGATGTGGGCATGTTCAGCAGCAGCTGGCGGGAGCGGCGTGAGAAGGAGAGCCGGTATGAACATAACGCGAGGGTGTTTGAGCTGCTGCTTTGGCAACATGGTCAAAGTTGATGACAGGAGGTAACCTTTGGACTCGAGAGAGAGAGAGAGAGAGAGGTGAGGAGAGGGGAAAATAAGATAAAGAACATAAAACAGAAAGAAGGCCAGTACAGTTTAGTGACGTGGTAAATGACATGATCCAACGTCCACTCGGAAGGTCTAAGCGTAACCATGTGGTGGTGCCAAGCACTGATCATTTCGCCTGTGTGTATGGCTTGTATTGACTCAAGCAAAGAGCCAAGATTTAAGGGGATCATATTCTCCCGCACTGACGTCCACTGTATTAGGAGAATGAAGGCAGATATTTTTGGGCTAAATACAAAAAAAGAAGCATTGTCAATTCTAATGAAGACCTGGCGTGTGGGAGGCACATGGCGTTCACAGGAAAACCACACAAAGCAGGTCAGTGCGCGGTGACAAACAACACCTCCACCAACTCCTCTAAGAAACTTTCTATGAAGCCGCGAAACGTGGATTCTATATAACGCCAGATTACAGGCCGCAAAGAGCGGATGGCGCTGTTACCTAGTGATGCAAAAGACCAAACAGGGATCCAAGCTAATAAGAAAGAAGATGACAGAGGGGAAACAAAACCAAAAGACAGGAAGTAGATAGAGACTCAAAAAGGAGGAAGAGATAGTGATACAAAGCTGCAGAAAGAATGGGGAAGAGATCTCCAATAAGATACAGAGACAAGGTCACATGTGTAGCGTATGGAAGTGAGTGGGAGTTGAGACGCGCGGCAGTCCAGATGTCTGTCCCACACTTCACATGTGGCTGTAGTTGACCTTCCACCCCCCTCCTTCCCGCTTAGCATCCATCCATCGCCCGTTTCTCACCACTCTGTCAGGATGTCAGCAGTGTTTCTCGGCATGGCGTCAGACCGCCACACAAGGCTGCGTTTACGCCTCCTCCTCATCTCCTCAACATTCACCCTTTCACTGACCAAAAAAAAAAAGAAAAGGATCATTTGGGGCTGCTCGCTCCCTTGCGTCTATCAGGTGGTTAAATGAAGCATCCACTCTCTGATACAGGCTCACGTGGACAGACGGTGAAAAGCCGAGGCCAATTGCGTTACGGTCACGATGACATGGCACCTCTGATTGCAGCAGAGATCTGCTTCTAAAAGATTTCATTTAGAATAAAACATCAGTCTGGGTTTCCAGGGAACAGTACAGCAATGGACAGAAATGCTCTCATTTGCTGCGAGTTAGATAAGAAGAGTGTTGTTGCCACATTGTTGTCTTAACAGCATGACGACCGGCAACGGGAGGACACAGCTGGTCTTTTTAAGTTTGTGACGTTTGAGCCTGAGGAACAAATAAGATGTAACACAATAATTTGGGAGCTTGTGTCGACATATTTCCATACATATGCAAAGCAATATGTGTCAATCTGCTTTTCAAATGATCCATTTCCCTTTTCTTTACACTGAGGCAACTGGCTGCTGAGATCGACAGTCATCTTCCCGTCGCAACTCCTTCTTAACTTAGAGATGTGCAGTGTGGCTCGAAGGGCCGTCATGATGCGCTGACAATCATGCAAACCACATTCCAAGGTAGTTGAGAAATGGATATTTGGCTGATTCCAGAGAAGATCCAGCATGCTGGGACTTTATTATCTTATCTTTATTATCTTCAAACTAAATATGGGTGTTGAAGACATAACGTCCCCCAACATGCCACACCAGGACGGGCTGTAAAGCGTTTTAGTTCCACCAAAACGCAACACTTTAACAGTACATCATGCTTCACTCAAGTTAAAGACATTCGAAAAAACGCAGCCAAAACCGTCACATTCCTAAAAGCGTGTAAACAATGAGCGGGATATAGTGATTCCATGTGACTTTGTTTACAAGCCCTGGTCTGCTCGTAATTGTGCAATGTGAAGATAAACAAATCCAATCCGAGAAATGACACTTTCCTCCATATGGTTCCGCGAAGAAAACACGAAGTGAGCGATTGTACCACGAGAGGAATCATTACTTAACGTACAACGTGACTGGCACAGTGGAGGAGCACTCTTAATGCCAGGTGTAAATATAACTGAATTAAACTGCGCGCAGAGGATATGTTCACATTAGGTGTGCAGATGATATATATTTTCTACCTTTGTGCTCCCCTCGGCCCACTGACAGGGCGGCCGAGCTGCTCTGTAGACACGCTGGCTGTCTCTCTGCCTCTAATTGGTTGATTTGGGAGGAATTTTAACCGAATTCCAGTTGGGATTCATCTCAATTGAATTGTGGCCCGAGCCTGAGAGGGCGGAGCGGCGGCGGCAGCAGCAGACGGAGGGGGGAGGGTGGGGGAGAAGGAGAGGGAGGGGAAAATGGTTTGGCTCTGGAGCGTTACAACAAGCTCCAACAGGAAGTCATTCAACGGGAAAACACACACGCACACACCCAGAACGAAAACGACCACACACACACACACACACACACAGACTTGAACACACGTGTGTCCGTGTGTATATTCACAAGCCAAAAGACAAAGGAGAGACGGTCAATTTGGAATGCATTCTTCCTCCTCCCCCTGCATGAGTCAGGGTGTGTGTGTGTGTGTGTGTGTGTGTGTGTCACTTGATGGGCGTTCAGCAGACTGCTGCAGCATCTCAGCGGCGGATGAGCAGAAGGTTGAAAAGCGAAGGGAGGAGAAAATACAGAGGCTGAAGGACGAAAGGATGCGAGGACGAGGGGACGGACGATGAAGAAGAAAAGTCACTTGCGGGGAGGACGTGTTGACGGGAAGGGGGGGGAAGACCAGAGAAAAAGACTCAGGCTCACAGGCTGGGTGCAGGGGGGGGTAGGGGGGGGGTAGTTTCATGTAAACAAACTGCCCTGGCCCCGGGCACTTTCTGCATGTCCCAATTCTTTTCTTTTCTCACTTTGCCAAATACGCAAAGCGGTCCAGCACGTTTTACTCTTTTATATGCAGCTGCCCAAAGATCAACTCCTCTGCTGAAACACAGACGGACACTCAAACAAATCGACTGCTCTCGACTATCGTTTCTCAGGTTGGATGAAAAGGATAAAAGTATGTCCAATCGATTTAAACGAAAACATAATAAATTCCCAGCAACTCCCTGTGGTTCAACAGCGCAGGTTGCATTTTCTTTGTTTCCTATCCAACTGAGCCACGTCGAGTCATGCCTTATTTGATATGGATTACGCTCGCAGTCCCGAGAGTCTTTTCTCATTTTTTAAATGAGCGCTGGCTTTGGAATCATTTACAAACGTTGGAAACACGACCTTCATACCAGGTCAAGTTATTCATGCTCTCTCCTTTAAGCCTTTCTGGCAGCAAATTATATTTTAATGTAAATCTGTGCAAACTGCTGTTCTGGCCAGATTAATGGTTGATCTCAAGACACTGCTGCAAAGAGTTTCATTAAATTAGATCAAAGTTCAACTTTACAATGGAATCCAGCAGCAAATGGTCACCTGCATCAAAGCGTGGAATTATTCTGCTATATTAGTCATTAATCGGCGTAACTCAGTAAATAAGGTGATCCTCAAATGTTTCTTCTTAAGTAAAAGGATCCTGTGGCGCCATGTAAGGCCTCTCGGATTAAGGCCGGATAAGTGCACCTTCGGGGGCTGAAATTAACAATAATCGTTCAATTACTCATTAACTGATCAAATCATTTGGGTCATACAGCCAGCAGAAGAACAGTGAAACGCGGGACGCAAACTACTTCCCGGAGCTCAGGGCGTTCTCGTTAAGTGGCTTGTTTTGTCCGACCCGTTCACCTGAAAAGATAAATCAACAATGAGGTTTTCAAAGCTGAAACCAAAGGATGTTTAACATTTCACCTCAATAAAGAAATTTGAATGATTCATGAATTATTAAAAAAAAAAAAAAGGTCCAGCTCATTGTCTGCAGATCCACAATCAAATGACCAAATACCTGATGACGTGCAGGAGAGAAGCCTGAGCCAAAATAAAACTTATTTCAAATGCTGTCATTTATTTTGCCACAACTGTCTCCTGAGATCCATCTGGGATCTGATTACAGTAAGTCTCCAAATACAAAAGCATTCCTGCAATTATTACTCCTCCACATCTCTCCCCTCCCAGATGTGTTCTCTCTCTCTCGCTCCCCATTTATCCTCCCTAATTCACTTATCCTCACTAATTCAATGTTGACTTTAGTGGGCAATGGCAAATAGTCTGGATTAAATATTCACAAAGAGGGAACATGCTCACGGTTTGAAGTGTTCACACACTCAATCGCCAGCGTAACAGCTTGTCTTGGAATTCCCTTTAGGAGGGAGAGACAGAGGGACCCAGTGTGTGTGTGGGGGGGAAGAGAGGGAGAGAGAAAGGAAGGAAGGGAAATCAAAAGGACATGGTGCGCACTGTTTGCGTGACAAGACCCTTCACCCGAGGCCGCACGCGCACACACACACACACACACACACACACGCATCACGTCACCATTGCAATGTGAAGCTCTGTTGCTGATAAATGGTTTTACATTCAAAGCGGCTGTTGTCATTTGCTTGTATGCGTTTGTGCAAGTACCACCAGAACGAGATGCCGTGTCTCCGACTAACGCCGAGGACGAAGAACTTGGAACTATGGACTTCAACGCTCAATACTTGATGATGATTGCCACACACACACGCACACACACACACACACACACACAGCCTACAGTCAGTGCCAGGTCAGTCAGCTACTCGGTTAATCATTGATGGCCGCTCAGACACACACACACACATGCATGCACACACACACACACACACACACGCACCTCTATTATGGTCACTGACATGGGCAGTAGGAGCATGCCGGGGTTGCCAGACACGCCACTGCAGAAACATACAGAAGGAAAACTAGCACAGGATAAATGACTTAATCCATGATTTGCGTTGTCATAGAAACAACAACAACAGTAAAGATGTAAAAGTAAAACGTCACATTGTCGCAGTTGAAGGTGCACGTGTGTCGGGAGGAGTACAGGAAGAGAAAGACACGAGAGGGTGGACTGAAAACCGGTGTGACAGGAATTCAACACAACGCGCGCGCGCGCACGCACGCACGCACGCACACACACACACACACACACACACACACACACACACACACACACACACACACACACACACACACAGGAGTGTTTTACTGAGTATAACATAGTGGGCTTCTGTGTTCGGAGCATGCAGGTGAGGCTGTACTCTCACCTGCACACACTGTCCGTATCACACACACACACACACAGTCACAGAGACAGAGAGACACACCGGTCTCGCGTGTCCCAGTCCCTACTGTCAAAAGCACGCTGTCACGTCGTCAAGGGCCGGTCGGGGGGCACTTTCCCTTCCGGGATCAAGTAAACAAAAGAGTGGTTTCATCCTCACCTCGTCCCATTTGATGAATTTGCCCCCCTTCTTCAGCGCTTCGTGGACGGACACGGGCTTGAGCTGCAGAGCGTGGACTCCCGGCTTGGCCCCGGCCATGGCGAGGGACTCCCGGCCCCCGGGTGCCAACGCCTAAGCTCCGGCTACGGCAAAGGTCGGACTCCTCGGAAGGAACCACACACACACACGCACAAAGAGAAAAGAAAAGAAAAGCCCCGCTCTTCCTTCTTCCTCTTCCACCCCGGAGCTCGCGCTTCTTTTCCGGGGAGAGACTCCAGAGTGAGGGGGGAGGAGGGGGGGGGGGACTTTCTCCAGAGCCTGACCTCAACAGTTGGTGGACGTCACGGAGAGTTTGAAGAACATGAGGAGTAGAAATCCATACAGAGAGACAGAGACAGACAGACAGGAGGACGGGACTAGACTGTCTCCGCGCGCACCCCCGCGGTCTGCCGGCGGCGCGCCTTTAACCCCCCCGCTGTCCTTTATTATGGGCTCTGATAAATATATTTGTTTATTTATACCGAGACGTTCTAATCGCGCGCTCGAGCACGCAGAGAGATCTTTTCGTTCCTAAACAGCATCTGCTCGACCCCTTCTCTGACATGGCTCTCGCACCTCCAAACTTTCTCCGCGTCCTCAGGGTGTGCGGGTGTGTCTCTCTCTCTCTCTCTCTCTCTCTCTCTCTCTGCTCTCTGTCTCTACATCTCTCTCTAACTGATTTCTTCTCCTCTGCTCCCGTCCTCCCCTCGTGTTGGGTGAAATAAGGAGAGAAGAATCGCGATGGGAGCGAGTCGGCGGCAGGTCGAGCCGTGTGAGAGAGGAGCGGGAGGGAAGTCACGGCTTGTGTAAAAAAAAAAAAAAAAAAAAAGGGGGAGTGTTTTAATTCGGTCCCTCCGGCTGCCAGTCCGCCTGCATCTGAGCGAGCTGTGCGCATACGTGTTTTCTTTATCTGACATATCAAATTGATTTGACCAAAAGTCTATTGGTTCAAACTGTTACCCCCGCCCCCCCCATCCCATCCTTATGTTTGCTTCGCCGCTACTCAAAATGCCCTCAAACTGGAAAGGTGCGCAGTGATTTCATGTTGTTGTGCTTATTTGTGTTGCAATACTTGTCAAAGTGAAATCAGCCTGAAATGTCCGGATGTGTTTACCCGTAGAAAGCTGCGAAGGTGCTACAACAATGCGACTATAACGTGTTTTTGTCACTTTGTAGCGCAGGCTTTCAGTCGGAGGTGTTCTCCAAACCCAAGTGGAGATCATTTCTTTTTTTGCACTAGTGTCTACTTAGGTTTGTTTTATGCACCATCCAATAATAACTATTCCTTGTGTGTGCAACATACTTAATAAATGGTTCTGATTCTGAGAAAAGCTTCTCCGGAGCCAAAGGCACAACTGTTCTCCCTGACGATACAATTCTTACATTCTGACACTGACCTTGATGTGTAACATTTAGCCTTTAATGATCCCACATGTTCAGTACTACATCATTGAAATCCATGTTTAATGTAACAGTGTACATCCACACAATCCGTGTGTAATCTAAGGAGACACAAATTCATAAAAGGTTCATATCAAGCCCTGATCTAAAAGAAACAGGGAGCAACTGTTTGGTTTCTCTGAGCTAAAGGCAATGGAGGGGAGGCCCAAGCCGACGCCGCTGTGTCTGATGTTAGCTTTGGGGATATATGCACATTTGCTCTAATGACTCTAGACGACAGGATGAACAGCACTCCCACGTCTGTGCGCTAAATGTGGAGCTAAAAACAGCAGCTGGTTAGCTTAGCATTGCATAAAGACTGGGAGCGGGGACAGTAAGGCAGCTGGCCTGGATTCTACTACAGGCTTGTTTAATAGTAAAGCGCTGCGTATCTCCTTATGTGTTCTGCACTGACAAATCTTAACGTAATCACCAATTTAGGAAGTAAAATAAGTGGAGTGGAACATTTCTCTTTAAAATGTAGAATATTAGAACTTTAAGGAAGCATAAAAAAGTACCAGAAAACAGCTCACAGTACCTAAGTAAGTGTTACTTTTGGATATAGCCGTTTATATATCTCTTGGGGAGAAAGCAAATAATTTCTGACTACTAGAGGGGCCACAAACCCCCAAAAGTTGTTAACCGTATTAGCGTGAAGAATGAAAATGTTGAAGCTCCATCTTTATTTACTGCCACAGGCAAACATGCAACTTAACTGCAGTCTGCAAGAAGCAATCTACTTTAAACTATTTCCCTTGGTGTTGAAGGCAAGCGATTAGCCACGTGGGCCAATAATGTTATTAAAAACATGGTGGCAGCGGCTGGAAATACAAAGTAATCAGTTTAAAGGTCACTCTGCAGCAACGGGGCTGCTGCTCAGGCAGACGGGTTGTGAGATTGAGGACATCTTTTAGAAATGATGATGTTAAATCTGCAATCAGCAAATAATTCTGAGGGTTTGTCGGAAAAGGTAATTGAAGCCAGTGAGTCATCAGATAACGTCCCCCCCCTTGCATCGTCTTGGTCTGTGGTATCATGTTTTAAGAAGCGTGAGAGCAAAGTAGGCGCCGCAGTTTAATCCCGTTCAAATCCCGCTGCCAAGCAACTTAGAAATAAGAAAAGATTTAAACACCCAAGCAGAGCAACTGATTTTTTGGCAATTGTTGCCATTTTCCAACTCCCCAGCTACAGCCGGCAGGAATGTCTGCTATGCTGCAGCTCTGCCGACTGACTGACTGTGTGAAACCCTGGTGGCGTGTATCTCACTGCGCGAAACCTATAGCGAGGAAGAGGAGATCCACAAACAATCTGTCCTGAGCACAAGACCTGAGTTTAACACGAGCCCGAGGAGCTGCGCACATCCAGCGGCAACACGCCTTCACATTCAGGCGCTTCTGTGCGTGTGTCTGTGTTTTCTGTGCGGGGTTTTGAGTCCAGGCCGAGTCCACGTAGACTTGTTAATAAATCTGATCTGGGACCATCGCACACACACACAGTTAAACAAACACACACACGCACGCACACGTGACCTCTCAAATGACAACAAATACATGATGGACACGTGCTTTGGCCCGTAAAGACGCGCACGCTCTCGATCTCCTCTCTATCCACACAAATTGATTTATTTTTAGCCAGACGACATTATGCTGAAGGCTGCATTTGAAGTACAGGCACCTGTGTTGTGAACAGACGGCCGCTTCCCTCCATTCAGCACGTCCTCCTTTCGCAAACACAACAATACAATACAGTCTTATGTTTAACTTATGAATGGTTTACACTGGGACTATTTAAGATACACAGAGGACGGACCATAGTGACTTTGCAGAGTATCTGATCCTCTAGCACCCCCAGCAGGTGGTTTTAACCTGTGAAAGTCTTCATGTAGCTGCAAACAACTATTAGCTGTACAAACACGAGGAGGAGAATGATCGGGCAGGGGATTAAATCACATCCTTCTGTGTGTGATGTTCACCGAGCTTGTCCTTGCCTCGGCCTTGTTGAAACAGCATTGGGTCATAAGGTCACGGCCGCTGCTCTGCACTGCTCCTATGAACCGGTTAGAGCTGATGAACTCAATCCAACCAACGCTCCTCCGGTCCCGCCCCCCAGGTAAACACAGTTTGCTCAGTCTGCACTTTTGTCATGGTTTGCACTGTTAGCATTGTCAGCACTGTCACCGGGCGCTGAGAGGCAATACAAACGCTCCTTATCCTGTATACAGCACCTTCGGATGACTCACTGACACCGCCAGCAGGTGAATATTTAGCGACGTGTCTCGATAAGCATTCGATGGGCTGCCATGAAACAGCTGGATTGTCCTCACAGGCCCCCCTACACGACCGCAAAAACACCGGGATAGAAGCCGAAAGAGGAAAGGGATCAGGAGGACACACACAGACCATAAGACATTATAAAAGAGACACAGAAAGGAGGAGGGTTCATGGGGAAAGGGAGGGGAAGGATGTAGAACAGGAAATGTAACTGGAGCAAATGCCAGATCTATGAGATTTACTGTTTTTGCAACAGTTTAACAAGGTCTTCCTTGTTTTCTTTGTCACATTGAGGGAATAACAAGTATTAGAAAGACGGAAGGGCAGTCAGAGAGATGAAAAGCAGTAAACAACAGGGAAGTAGGAACCGGGAAGGAGTTAGGAATAAGTCCAGGCGTGGAGATCGAGATCAACAACCACTGCTCTCTTTCTCTCCCTCTCTCTCTTCCCCCTCTATCGGGCAACAGACAGAAGTTCCCCTCCAACGCAAAGCCGCGGAATCACAAAGACACATTGTATTAAAGACACACAGGCATATTCACTGTCCTGTCACACACTGCCACTGCTAACCCCCCCCCCCCACACACACACACACACACATCCACAGAATCACACACACCCGCATGTACAGTACACACACTCGCTTTAATAAGAAAGGCCTGACTCAGTCAACAGTATAGCATTAAAAAGATCAGATTACTCTCCACAGCGCTGCAGAGACTTCGACCCGGAGTCGCTGAGAGTTCACTTGAGACTGGACCCATCTGTTTCCATAAAGCTGCCCAGTTGTTGTCTAGAAAAGCTCGTCACGTGGGATCGAGAGCAAAGGGCCAATTCCAGTTGTTCCCCCCAGACGAGGCATTCATATAGGTATACAGGAAATATCTTCCCTCATATTTCCATTCATCAGTGTCCACCATGCAGGCCCAACATGCTCCAAACAAAGACGCACTACTCCTGCTTCGCTCTCAGATCTGCAATATAATCCTATACCTCCTCCCAGTGGCTGGACGGCAGCACCACCGTCGGCTGCATGGAGCAGCAGAACGTGGAAACTGCTTTCACCTCTGAATCCCCTGTGCTTTTCTTTTTCTTTTTCATGTGGCCATCAATGAAGTGTACATCTCAATCTGACTTTGTAGGTCTCCGGAGGGGGGTAGTTCACTCTTTTTTTCCATCCTCTTCAGAGCTGCCAAATCTCACGGTTTCGCCGTGTGACACCCGCTTCTGCATGTTTTCACACGCACTCACGCCACACAACCAATTTCTCACGGCAAAAAAAAAGTGGCGCAGGGGTTAGAGAAGGTGTGCTGGGAAGCACAAGGTTGGTGGTTCGATTCCAGGCTGCCCCATGTTCCATGTCGAAGTGTCCCTGAGCAAGACACCTAACCCCTAATTGCTCCCTGGGCAAAAATGTGAAAAAGCCATGGGTTTAAAGTGTAATGTAAGTTGCTTTGGATAAAAGCGTCTGCTCAATGACTTGTAATGACCTGTAATGTAATGTAGATGGCGCTAAGGAGCGCATCTGTAAACCTATTCGCTGCATAGACGTCCTGTTTACCCCAAAGAGTCCCGCAGTCAGCCACAGAAGAAGATTTTCACACAGACACAACCGCGGGAGAAACTCAGGAGGAGCAAAGACTATAAGGTATGTTAATGACATGTGGTTCAATAAAGTACTCACTCTCTTAAACTTTAAATCTCGAAAGAAGTTATTAGTTGTGTTTGTGCGTGTGATTTTGAGTGGTGAATGTAAACTGTCATAACAAGCAGCAGGAGAGCACCTTGTTAACCTCTTGGTATACTGCATGCTCAAAACATCATAGCATTGTTTATTAAAGCTGCTCACATAGCATTTATTTTTTTATATTTACATGCCAAAGAAAAAGACCCTCTCAAGAATTTTCCAAACAGCACTTTGAACAGGTAAGATGTATTCCAAAGAATTTAACATAAAGACAGGAAATTTGTGCAATAGAATTAGGCATGTTTTTGTAAATGAGTAGAGTTATTAAAAACCATTTTAATTCTTTAAGGGAGCAAAGATGTCTCGTAAAAGAAGAATACAATTATTAACAATATAGGTTAGGTTTCAGTTAAGAATTAGTTGAATACCATTGTAATCAAAATGTCAATCAACCTAAATTGGTCAAATCTTAAACACAGGTCTATTAATTAGGCTATATTGTGGTACATAGACAGTCATTGAGGCACAACAATAGTTTTCTGGTTGAATGTTCAGCTCAAGTCTAGAAGGCCCCACAAGTCATGAGCAGATGAACATGAATCAGAATAAGCTCAGGCATACGACCCAAAGATCCACTGGAATGCATGAAATAACATCTACTTAAACCAACATGTCCTGGGGTGGACCATCAGCTATGTCTTTGCTTCACAGAATATAACCAATGTTGTCCATCTCCAGTAGGCCGCCCCTATATCAACGACTTTGGGCCCCACAAACCACCAGAATGCAGGGTAGAACATGGGTACTACGCCAAATGAATTCCAATTTCCTGATATTTGAGCCAACGTGTGTGGCTGCGTGCGCGGCAACATTTTGGTCACCCCCGACAAAATCTCACTCCAAAGTTGGCAGCTCTGGCCTCTTTCCTTGTGGGAAGAAAAAAACTGAATGTGTTAATAATCATTAACAAAGTGCAGCCATATTCTTCCTGAGAGTTAACCAATTCGCCCATGAATGTACTCAGTGGAGACGGCTCAACAGCCCCCCCCCCCGTGGGCTCAGGGCTTCTGAATCCACCGTCTCCCTGTAAGAAGCGAAGGCGAGAGCTCCGCATGACTTAGAGCGGTGCTCCAGGAGTCCATGTGAGGTCACAAGTAAGTAGAAGCTTGGTACGGGGTCCGGCCCGTGAGAGGAGGACGAGTGTCTTCTATGTCCTGACAAGGTCTTTGCTGTACCGTTGCGGTTTAACAAAAGTAATGATGATAAAAACAACAACGACAATATTAACACACCCGAGGGTTTTAGTGAGGTTATTTGAGCTCCTGACATCATTTTCTTACATCTGTGCGTTACACCACGTGTGATTCTGGCACCTTTTCACTTTCATCCAAAGCCGCGGCAGTTTCGTTGTTGGATGCTAAAATGATACTAACTTCCTCTCTGGTGGTCTGTTACTGTCAGACGTGAAGTGAAAAGGCCAAAATGTCCCATACAGTCCACCTGTGAAGATGCACAGATGTAGTTTGAGTACGTATTTTCTTATTTTGCCTGCAGTGACACACTGGCCTGTCTGTGCTTACTCAACTGCAATTTTCAGACCTACTCACTGAATAATTCAGGGGTTTTTTACGTCTTGTTTTCATGGTTGTCTCAAACGGCTTCTTGGCCCTTTAGGACTCTCTGTCTCTGCCTCTGTCTCACACACACAGATATGAATACGTTGACGGATGTAAACACCCTCATACAGTACAAAGGAGATGGGGAGAGAGAAGAGACGTCATGAATTCGCTCCCATGTCTTTACCTCCCCCTACCCTTCACACTCCCATTATTATTAAAACCCTTCTTATTCGGGGTGTGGGGCCCCCCGCTGTGACAACACAATAGACAGACTGTGAAAAACTGGGACTGGTTTCCTGTTAATGGAACACTTCCAATGTTTTTTTGATCTCTGTTGAAACTTTAGAATGAAACGTTTAAGGCAAGTAATTGTATGTAGCGGACATAAACCATATATTTTGCGCATCTTATCTTTCCATAAACTGGAACTGATTCCACAGTCAAACCCGCTTAAAACACAAACAAGTGTTGAAGTCAAACAAACAATTTGCCCAAACGGTAGAGAGTGAGCTGGTTCTCAAAGTTGTGAAAGTGAGAATAAAGTCACCATTTGCCCTCTTTTTTCCCTTTTTTTCTTCTCGGTGTAGCGTAACGTCGGATGCGTCCAGTCAGAGAGCGCGCACGCACCTCCAGCGGGGACCGGAGAGAGAGAGAGAGAGAGAGAGACACAGACAGACACAGAGAGAGAGACGTGTGATTTCTCTTTGTACTGAATGAAGAGTTGAGACTGGCCCTGCTTCTGCTCACCTCTCTCTCTTTTCATATAAGCAGAGTTCGCGTGCTGTAAATAGCCCATTACGCCTGTTTACACCTTGCGTTTCGCCGTAAGTCCCGTTTTGTGCTTTTTGCGGAAGCGGCCGGACCACAGCAGATGTCCCCGTGAGCGATCTGCGGACAACAAAAGCATCAGGTCCGACGCTTGTTTCTTCCGACTCACGCGTCGAGTCAGTCGGGATTTTGCACGTCGACCTTTCCAACACGTCCACATCTCCGTGGGGGGATTCTTTTTTTATTTTTATTTTTATTTATTATTTATAACCAAGCCGAGCGACCATGGCAGCCGTAACGAGCCCGGAGACGAGCCCTCAACCCCGGGTGTATTTCCAGACGCCGGGCGGCGCCGCGGAGGAGCCGGAGACGCCGGTTCGCAAGCAGGGACGCGTGACCGTCAAATACGACCGCAAGGAGCTGCGGAAGAGACTGAACCTGGAGGAGTGGATTATCGACCAGCTAACGGACCTGTACGACTGTGAGGTAACGAGCCTAAACAATATATGTGTATATAGATATAGTCGGGCTGAAAGCCGATCGGACGTATCGATCGGGCGGCCTCGCTAAGTAAAAGGGCTCGCGTGAGTCGGCGTGTGTGTGTGTGTGTGTGTCCTCCTTCCGCTCCGAGAAGCGAACTATTGCAAAGAAAAAAGAGGAAGCCCCGATAGGCCCCTGTTGTCGCCGCTCCCCGGCCTGTAGCCTCGCGCGTTCTGCAGCCTACACGTCCGGGCCACGTGCGAGTGTAGGATGAGGTAATGGAAACGGCAAAGACACAAAGACGTCGCTGTCGCGTCTTAGGAGGCAGGTGAAGCCGCCGTGGCTTCACTTCAGCCCCCCCCCAGGTAAGCTAAACGTAGCTCATACAGCTTTATTACCTTATCATAAAATAGGCAGCCTTCGCTGTGCTCTCTTCTGATTGGCTGAAGCCGTTTTAAAGCCCACCTGTGAATTCATTTAATAAAGTCCTAATAGCTCATACAGGAACATTGGCCATCACAACCATTATTCTGTTTAACATATAAATGTATATATTCCTCTTGCCGTGTCTATTCTAAATGCAAACCTCTAAGTCAAGCAAAAGGGGAAGGAGACATCTTCTTTGGGGAGGTTAATGAGGGGGGGGGGGGGGTTACTAATGAATCTAGGGTGGATGGGTCCAGTCGTGCGTCACGAGTCCCTCTGCACCATCGCACATTAAAACCGTTGCCGGCGGCGACCCAGCTGAGAGGTTGGGTCGCCTCAGAGGTTCTAATGGCACCTGGCTGCAGGCCGCTGGCGTCAGTAGCTGGTAAGCTGGCGTCAACTCTCCTGAGCTGGCATTGACCCACATGCTATTCCTAGTAGAGCGAGGAAAACAGCGACTTAAGAGGTTTGGAGAATTCCTAGTTGGCTAGCTGAGACAGGCAAAAAAAGGCTGGTACACATATCGAAACAAGGTCAGGCTGCTAGTTCAAGTTTACACATGCAAGTCCAAAATCCACATCCACAGAGTAACTAATGTCCCCGTGTTATTGCAAACCAACGTTAAACAAGAGTGTAAATCAGTTTTTGACCCCCGTTGAATGGGAGTTGGAAACCGATAGCTCTCTCATGAGAAAACCAGATTGCGCCGTGCTTTCATTGACATTTTAACGGCGGTTAAAGGGATATCCCGTGACATGAGGATGGTAATAATAAAGTAGCCAGGATACTACAGAGCCTCGCATGCCAGCAGAGGCGATTGAATGGCCTGGAGAGGATTTTCCAATCGATGTTCCGTGATTGTGTGTCGATGATGGATGTGTTCTCGTCGGAAAGTGTTCAGTGATGAGTATTTCTCTTTCTTTTTCAGTCGTGCATGTTTTAATGCTCTGATGCTCTTGTGTTTGTCTTGTTGTTATCGTTTCTTCATTCAATTGTTTTGCGCAGACTCCACGTAGTCCTAAAAGCCTCACAAGGGGATTGTAATGATTCATTATTGTCAGCTCACAGGTCTATCGGATACTCCCGAGATGGAACGCGTTGATTTATTTCACATTTTTGGACACACATCACTCATTAATCTCCAACGAGGAGGCCTAGTTTTTGCCCGTTCACAGTGTTTCACCCGCCTTTCTCTGTCCTGATCCGCTCCCCGGCCTCGGCTGTTAGACAACAGGGAGATTGATTTACAGTCGGTTCACTGATGGAGACACATTTTGCTCATTTAGACGGAGCGTGTAACTGGAGAGGCAGCTTCAGCAGGTCAGGCAGCCCAGTGGGAGAACCCTGTTCAACAATAAAATATACGCAGAGATATGATCCTGCGTTTCTTCCGCCTCCCTGTGTTACTGCTTGGCTTAACCTTTCGCTCCCTTTCCTGACGCAATCCACATTTTTCATTCCCGCCCCCTTCATTAGAACCCTTCTCCGTTTTATTCCTCCCTGGCCTTGCTGCATAGTTCTGCTAATAATAAAACCAACATGGAGATAATGAGCTATTTTCCCCACTCATATAATCCCTTTAAACATGCTACAAGCTGTCAGCCGGTCATTCCTGCCAGCCAGCTCGTCAGATATTCATCCAGCCACGTAGTCCGTCCATCAGTCAGAGTTGCTGTAGGTAATAACGAGAAGCCGAGCCTTTATATGATTCCATTAGAACAAGGCTGTTGTTATGTTAATGTTGGTTATCCGTGCAGTGGTAAAAAAAAAAAGAAGCTCGTGTTCATTTAGTGGAAGAAAAGCTTGGTTAAATTACCATTTCCCAAAAGCCCCTGTTGTCATTATTTTTCTTTCCATGCAGGATAATAATTATAGCCTCTCTGTTATTATATTAGCAAGGCTTTTGTGAATTCCTGCGGTCAGGTGTTAACTTGCTTTGTTGAAGAAACACACCGGTTTTTTGATGGGCGCCCGATGGAGCTGTGATTCCTAGTAATGGTGACGCCGTTGATTGAGTTCATCCAAGGTTGGGGGGGGGGGGCTGCTGCAACAGAACCTCCAGATCCTCCGGTTCCCATTCATGTCACAGTTTATGTAACAGACTCAAGTCTATTAGGTTGAAAACATAAACACTCAAGCCGGCGGGACGCGTTTTGGATTTAAAGGGGTTACCGGGCGTTTCTGTAAGAATCAACAGTGTTTACTGCGCCTTTGTTGTTGCTGCGCCTCCATTCCAATGCTACCTCTGTATTTGGGGGCGCTAAGTGAGTCCAGGCACACGCTGGGGAAAGAGAAAGTGGCGGAGGTTCCACAACTCCACTTTGATGAAGAAAATTATAGAATTTCACACCAGGCTTCCCCTCATTTCCATGGCAACTGTGCTGTTGAGTCTGAATTGGTCAGCAAAGATTTGTACCGCCTCGCTGACCGGTAGCTACGCAGTCAACTGCGCGGCGAGTCCAATCTCCAAAACACACACACACACACACACACATAAACACTTGATACAAGTGAGAACACGGGCAGGATTGGTGAGCAGGAATGTGATGACCGGGGGATGAAGAGGAGGAAAAACTACTGGAAACGCTATTGGAGGAGGAGGCGGGGACATCAGAGAGGGAGAACGTGTCCTTCTAACACGTGTCCTCCTCTGCTGCTGTCATGTAACGTAACTGCGCCTATGACCGCCATCGAGCGGGCGAACCACACAGAAATAACGGACACGCATGCACAAAAACACACAGGGCATTTGCTTAAGACTCACACTCAAAGGCCTGAATACCAATCAGCATTACTCGGTTTGACTCGCTGTGCGTAAAGAGGGCGACTACAAAGACTGCTTGTTACACAGCGGGAGTGAAAGGCTCCTGTGTGTCTTTGTAAACACACACACACACAGGGACATGCACACGTGGAGTTGATATCTTCCACGTGGCTCTACATGATGAACGGTCCATTCCCTGTTTGATTGGGGGGGTTGTGAGTCAGCACGTGCTGTAGCCTCACCGACTGACCATGTGAGTGAAGAAATCCGCCACACTAGAGAGGACATTGTGATGGGGGGGGGGCGGCAAGCGTGTGTTTTGGCGAGTAGGATCGGAAGGAAGTAAAGAAGGCCGGGCGGCGGTCTGGGTGAAGAAAGGGAATGAGGGATGTGAGCCATCCAGGGGAATGTTTATGCGCGGAGTCAAAGGAAGTGTGCGAGAGTCACACACATAATGGTTCATGAGGATACAATGCATCAAATTAGCACTCCACTTTCCCCAGAAAGCACATTATTCAAGACACACACCTGTTGATTTGTACGCGTCGCACACCATTGGTTTCACCAAATTAGCATTTGTGCCGGTAAACGCGATCGCGGGTAAAGAAATGTAAACACATTTGTGTTTTAGCGCAGTGCTTGAAGCACCGTTTCGTCAGCTTCCACTTCAAGGATGCAGCACATCGCGCTGGTCGTGTCGCGTGTCCGAGGACAGACTGCCCGTCACGTAAAACCCTTCGGCGTTACGTCTCAGCACCAGCGGCGGCGGGCTCGTCGTCCCGCTGCCCGTTGGCCGAGTGGAAAAAAAAACGTTTTACCGCAAACGATCACCAGCGGACGAGGGGAGACGCTCGGCGCCAAATCTAATTGCTGGCAGTAACTTTAATGCTGTGGGACGGTTCACAGGCTCGAGAGCCAGGAGTTCATACACACCTTCCGTGTTAAACAGCTGTGTGTATTCTGTGTACGCGTTTAATAGCCGTCCAGTAAACGCTCAAGTCGTTATGGTCTTTTCTTCCATAAATATGACGACTGAGATGGATGAAGCCCCCCCTTCGACTTCCTGCTTCTTATTTTGTATCGGCTACAAAGACGTTCCGGGAGAGCGCTCTTCTTGGTCCAAACCAAAGTGCTGCTCGCTCTCCTTTGACGCTTTTGAAGACCGGACGTGCTTTTGATGGCTCCAGCACCCTGAGGACATCTTTTTATCAAAGTGAGAATGGGTATAATAGAGACGTCGTTTGGTACTGGGGGGCAGTGTTACGAGCTCAAGTGAGTCCAGGGTGTGGTAGCTGTAATACCTCTTTTAAATGAGACCATCATGAGATTTTGGGGACTTTTTCATTTAATTATTGGCCTCCGTGGTAAGGCCACGTTAAAGTAAAAAAAAAAAAAAAAACTGTCCCAATGGACAGTGGCTAGAATTGTGGGCTGCAGCTTTGCCACGGAGTCGCTGTAATGATAAAGTCTCTTTGCAACTAATGCCTTGTGCCTGCAGGTTGGGTGAGGTAACAGATCCACTCAGGAGTGTATTTTAGTCCCAGGAGGTGCATTAGAGCAGACGCCAGTTGAGCTGTTGGGTAACTGCAGGCAGGCGTATGTCGGTGTGTGGCTTTATTAACTCTCTCCGACGGGGGTTTATTGTAGCTTTTATGTACGTCATAAACGGACCAAAGCTTTCCTGTTAATACTGTATATTTTAGAGAAGTTGATGTTAAACGTCCTATACTGTAGTATAATTGATGGAGGTTGATTTGTTTCGTATCAATAATTGTATTTTAGCCTTTGATCCATGTGTTAACTTTGAGACAGTTGA